TGTCACTATGAGTCGGTACTGACTAGATGGCACCTAACAACAACAACATGATAAGCACTGGACTTTTTACCACAGGAAAGGTGGTTTGAGCCCACCAGCTGCTCTGTAGGAGAAAAATGAGGCTTTTTGCTTTTACAAAGATATACAGCCTAGGGAGCCCTGTACAGGGTCACTATGAGTAGGAACCAACTCGATGGCACATAGCAACAACAATGTACATAATTTAAGCTTCAAAAAAGTTGATTTTTAAAAGCAGGAGTCCAGAGATGACTGATTTCCTCCTTTTGCTGTTTTCGATAGCATGTAGGGAAAATATAGTCACCTCTCTCCAATTCTAGAGGTGGATCTTATTGGGGCCAGCAAAGTCCTATGAGTTATCTGAAAAATACATTTCACCAAGTCACTGGAATTCAAAAATCCTAAGAAGCAAGCTCGTTGTAATTGGAAAGAACAATTTCTCCATTAAATGATGGATAAAACATTATTGTTAGTTACTATCAAGCTAGCTTTAACTTTCAGCGACCTTACGGGTAGCAAAACAAAACATTGTGCAGTCCCACGCCATCTTCATGATGGTTGGTGTGTTTGAGTCCACTACAGCTGTGGCTAATATGTCAATTCATCTCATTGAGGGCTTCCCTTATTTCCACTGACCCTCTACTCTACATACACGATGTCCTTTTCTATCGATTGGTCTTTCCTGATGCATGTCCAAAGTGAGTTGAAATCTCACTATCTGCACTTCTGAAGATCATTCTGGTTATACATATTCTAAAACTGATTTGTTTGTTCTCTTGAGAGTCTAGGGTGCATTCAATATTCCTTGTCAACACCACAATTCAAAAGCATCATTAATTCTACTATCTTCCTTTTCCTGTCTAACTTTTGCATGTTCAAGAGGCAATTCAGAAGACCATGGATTGTGTCAGGCACACCTTAATTATCAAACTAACAGCTTTGCTTTTTAAAACTTTAAAAAGGTCTTTTGCAGCAGATTTGCCTGATGAAATATGTAACATAATTCAATAATCACTCTCTAAAAAACTTTAGTCCATTTGGGAACATTAAACAAATTCGAAAAAATGACTTAGTAACTATAAGAAAGTTTTGGTTGGCTTTTTAAGTAATTTAAAACAGGACTATTAGGATAATTACTGAACTGTTACCACAAGGTCAGAAGTTCAAACCCACAAGCTGCTCTTGGAAACCCTATAAAGGATCCCTATAAGTTAGAAGGAGCTCTGGTAGCATAGTGGTTATGAATCGGGCTGCAAACTGCAAGGTCAGCAGTTCAAAACTACCAGCTGTTTCACAGGAGAAAGAGGCTTTCTGCTCCCGTAAGGATTTACAGCCTCAGAAACCCTGTACAGGGTTGCTATGGGTTGGAACCGTCTCCACGGCACATAACCAACCAACCAAAATTAGTCAGAATCAACTCAACAGCCCACAAAAACATCAGAATATAGAACACGTTGCTGAAATTGGCTATAGCATCTGCTTCTCTGAAGATAAAACAGCAGCATAAAACATCCCTCTGCTTATTCAAATGTCTTATTACAGAACAGAAGACTGAGACAACTTTTGGAAACTTGTTCTAAATCTATAGAATGAAACACACAATTAAACAACAAATCCACCTAGACTTTTACGAATGTACCATTAAGTGCATCAAAGTACACATTAACTCTGGGCTAGTGTATATTTCGTTTATAGAGTGTCTTCATGTTTTTCGTCAGTTTTTTACTTTATACAATAAAAATTGAGTCTTGGTCTGTGGCTCCATCTAGTGGACATGTTGGTCTTTTCATCATTAAAGGATAAGCCAAGTTCTCTGTTGTTGCTGTTTACTTCCAGATTTTTTTTTTTTTTAATAAACAAAAAGTAAAGAAAAATGGTAACCATAGTCCATAGATAAAAGCAGTATCTTTTCTGTTTTTTATTGATAATCTATTTCCAAAACTGATCATTTATTCCCAAAGGATTTGAAGTAGCTTAAAATTGAATACATGCATCCAAGAACTGGAAATGTTGTTGCTGTTATGTGCCATCGAGTTGGTTCCGACCCATAGCGACCCTGTATAGGGTTTCCGAGGGTGTAAATCTTTACGGGAGTAAAAAGCCTCATCTTTCTCCCGCGGAGCAGCTGGTAGTTTCAAACCGCTGACCTTAAGGTTCGCAGCCCGATTCGTAACCACTACGCTACAAATAAAAAACTAAAAATCAATGAGTGGCTATCTAAGGCTCTCCATGTGCAGAAGAAAGAAGAGGGATGAAAACTGAAGATGCTCGGAATCAACTAGCTCAATGGACCAGTGGAGCAAGTGCACATCAGTCACCACTACTCTAAGATCAAAAGAGCTAGATGGTGCCAGGCTACCACTATCAATCACTCCAATCTAGATGTTGTTAAGTGCCACTGAGTCGGTTCTGACTCATAGCAAACCTGTATTGGGTTCCCAAGAAACACTTGGTGAGTTTGAACCACTGACCTTGCAGTTCAAACCTACCTTGCTGTCGAATGTTATCCTACAGCGCCATACCAGGAGTCAAAAATCTCTAGATTTAACAACTGTGTTAACAACAGTGCCAGAAAGCAATCAAACCAGAGCAGATCAAAAAACCCTGAGAGGGACGTTTTCAGGAAGATGGAATTGATAGGATTCCTCATGTTTCTGAACATGTTTCTGAGATTTGCATAAGGAGGAACAGTTTAAAGATTAGTGATTGTTGTTGTTATTGTTGTTATGTGCTGTCAAGTGGGTTCTGACTCCTAGTGACCCTGTATAGGGTTTCTGAGGCTGTGAGTCTTTGTGGGAACAGAAAGTTTCATCTTTCTCCTGCTCTGGGCTCAAACTGCTGACCTTGTAGATCACATTCCAGTGCTGATCCTACAGAGTAACCGTGATCCTATAATTAATGATGTTGCTGTTATTATTAGGTGCCGCTGAGTTGGTTCTGACCCAAAATGACCCTGTATAAGGTTTCTAAGGAGTGGCTGGTGAGCTTGAACTTACAGTTCAAACCAACTTTGCAGTCCAGCATTAACACAGGTGCCATACCAGGACTCCATAATTAGTGATAAGTGTTTTAAAAATAAAGCAATTAAAAAAAAAAAGACAAATATTAACTTAAATTTAGTAAAAAGTTTTGCAGGAAAGGAAGCATGACCAGAGGATATTATATAGCTTAACTGTAACTCAACCTTAAATTTTGCTCTAACCCAAATTTTAATTTATTTATATTGGAGAAATTAAAGGATAGTAAGTATATTTGTGGTGGGGCTCATGAAAGAGCTAAATCCATGTCTATAAAGGAAATCAACATGTGGTGCTTAAAGTTCAAGCACAAAAAAGCAGTAATATAAACATTTGACTGTGTGGTTGCAAATACTATATTATCAGTTAAAAGACTTGAAAGTGAAGCAATACAAATACACCCTTTCTATTTGGCTACAGGCCTCATAAAGCTAAAACAATGCATGCTTGACTTGGAAGAAATTAACACTGCAACAACAACAACAACGATAAACAGAAAAAGCAACTTTCAGACCTCTGTATTTTCCCACTAGTACAGCACTGGACCTCAAAGCCGGTTTGAACTGCAAAGTTAGCAGTTCAAACTCTCCAGCCCCTTCTCAGAAACCCTATACAGGGTCGTCCTCATATGTGAGAACTGATTGATGACACTTAACAACATTCAGATCAAAAGAAGCCCTGGTGATGTAGTGGGGTATGCATGGGCTGCTAACCGCAAGATCAGCTGTTCAAACCCACCAGTCACTCATAGGAGAAAGATGAGACTTTCTGCTCCCCTAAAGATTGACACCTCGGAAACACTATACTGGGTTGCTAAAAGTCAGAACGGACTGGAAGGCACACCACCAACTACTGTTCAAATCAAACTTTCTAAAATTTAATTTCCTCATCTGTAAAATTAGTAAATTTGTGGATTTAAATAGATTGTGAACGAATAGTTGTTGTTGCTAAGTGCTGTCGAGTCGGTTCCGACTCATAGGGACCCTGTATAATAATTAAAAATTCGAAGTACGAAAAATCCTTAACCTTCATTTACTCATTCATCTTCTGTGTGTAGCAGCGGACGGCAAACCAGTGATACTGTACATTTGAACCCACCTGCCAGTACCTGCCCTCATGCCTACTTTTTCTGTTCCAGTTAATTTGGCTTTGGGGCAATACTTTTCTGGGCTTAAACTCCAGGTTGTGCTGGCTTCTGGAAATTCCATTAGCCTTTCTGAATCTCAGTTTCCCGACTTAGGAACAAGCAAGTATCTCATGCGTAGCTGGTGTGAGAAACAAACGAGAAATGATTGGGAAGCGCCTTCCTTGGAGTGCCTGGCACCTGCGTCTTCAGAAAAGCCAGCGTAGCGAGGGGCGGAGAAATTCCGCAGTCGCTATGGCAACCAGGAAGCTTCGCATTCCAAGGCAGCTGGCGGCAAAGCTGAAGAGGCTGGTCGGCCGCAGGCCGCGGAGACCCCTACGGCATGAGAGGGGCAGAGGCTGTGGTGGTGAAATCGACTGGGGCACTGGAGACCGGCCAGGACGGGGAGCAGCCTCGGCAACCAGCAGGGCGCGGGGAGCCTGGAAGTGGCCACAAACAGTGTGAGTTCAACACCCTACGCGGATTCTGCGAGAGTGGGTGCCATGGTGACAGGAGGAAAGGGGGAACTGAGGAAGTCGAAGTGGATCAGGCTGAAGTCCTATTATGGGTTTTTTTGTGGGGGGCGGGGTGAGGTGCTTGGAGTGGGTTTGCTATTTTGGTAAAGACAGACGTGAAGGCTCTATGGCAAAAAGCATTCCCTCCCATTTTCCCAAGCCTTCCTTTCTTCACTACAGACCACTGTCTTAATTGGTAGTGCCATTGGCCTGGAAGGAATTTTTGTTTTAATTTAAATATATACACACACTTGTGAGTATTGGCAAAATGATCTTCATGCTTCAAGGCGGATGGAATAGAGATGTTGTGGTGGTAGTGGTTGTGTACCTTTGAGCTGGTTCTGACTCAGAGATCCTAGGATGTCCGAGGCTGTAAATCTGTACTGGAGCAAAAAACCTCATCACAGCTGGCGGATTCGAACAGCTGACCATGAAGTTTAGCAGCCCAATTGGTATTCCATTACGCCACCAGGGCCCCTTGCTGTAGATATATAGATATAGACATTCCAATCATTTTGCCAGTTCCTTCATTTCACAGGAAAGAAAACTGAGAAAGTTACTTGTCTAGGATCACTCTGTAGATGTTGAAGAAATACATAAAATATTTAAACTCTCATCTCAGTTCATAACTTCTGATCTTTGAAGAAAGTCACATTTATGGGCAGTTTCTTCTATGCTTTTTCTCTCTGTCTCATTCTGTCTTCCTGCTTTCTCTCTCTCTCTCTGCCACAAACACACACTCAGCAGTTCTCCCACAGTCACCATGGACATGGTTGTAACTTGAGTCTGCACCAGGTCATAGCATTCAGCAATATTGATTCATGACTACAAACATTTTACAGCCCCTTGTACCCTCAATTCTCCAATAGCTGCTCAGGAATGATGCCGGAGAAAATAATAGGCCAAAGAGGGACACCACCAGTTTCCAGCCTTTGTCAGCATCTCCTTGATTGCCTCCCTAGAGGACAGCCTCTGGATCTCTCAGCTCCCCAGACACTCTGAGGGCCCCAGGAGCAATGGCTGGTCCCAGCACTTCATCAAGGAACTGCAGAACTACCATTACTGATGAAAGGGACCTCTAGCTCAGCATCATCCCTGATATAACTGGTTGTGATACCTCATTTCTTAAATTATTATTATCAACATCACACAAATACTTAGGGTAACTAAATTCAATATATTTAAATAATTGAGATTCTTTACTCAGACTTAAAATTCTCTCTAGGAATTTTTACCTTAAAGATATTTAAAGGTTCTTTATTTCTGGGTTGTATTGTAGGATAAACACTGGCTCACACCCACCAGCCACTCCTGGGGAACCCTATCCAAGGTCTTTATAAGTCAAAGTGACTGAACATCACTTAATAACAGCAAAGGAATAAAAGGAAGGAGTCCTGGTTAAGCACTGCTAACTGGTCTGCTAACTAAAAGGTTGGTGGTTGTAGCCCACCAACCACTTCTCAGGAGAAAGATGTGACCTTTTGCTTCCTAAAAATTACAGCCTTGGAATTCCTATGGGACAGTTCTACTCTGTCTTTTAGGGTGTCACTATGAGTCAGAATCAATTCAATGGCAACAAGTTTGGTTTGGGTTTAATTTAAGCCTTTATGTAAAGTCAAGTCTTTCATAGACTGTGTTATGCTTAAAATGATCTGTAGCACTCTCCACATGATGGCTGGCCTCTCCCACCATTTCCCAGTTTATTAAATACTGAACCCAGTATTTTAGGTGCTATCTGATTAGTATTGAACAGTGGAAGTATAACCTCTGACTATCATTGCTATCCATGTCCAATGGATCTTGGCTGAAAGCAGAGAATATCAGAAAGATGTTTACCTGTGCTTTATTGACTACACAAAGGCTGTCAATTGTGTGGATCATGACAAGCTATGGACAACATTGCAAAGTATCAGTATTCCAAAACACTTAATTATACTCATGAGGAATCTGTACCTGGACCAAGAAGCAGTTGTTCGAACAGAACATGGGAACACTGAATGGTTTAAAATTAAGAAAGGTATGCGACAAGGTTGTATTCTTTCACCATATTTATTCAACCTGTATGCTGAGCAAATAATCCGAGAAGCTTGGTTATATGAAGAAAAACATGGCATCAGGATTGGAGGAAGACTCATTAACAACTTGCGATATGCAGATGATACAACCTTGCTTGCTGAAAGTGAACAAGACTTAAAATGTTTACTGATGAAGATCAAAGAGCACAGTCTTCGGTATGGATTGCATGTCGATGTCAACGAAACAAAAGTCCTCACCACTGGACCAATAAACAACATTCTTATCAATGGAGAAAAGATTGAATTTGTCAAGGACTTCATTCTTCTTGGATCAACTATCAACACTCACGGAAGCAGCAGTCAGGAGATCACACGAAGTATTGCATTAGGCAAATCTGCTGCACAAGACCTTTTTAAAGTGTTGAAGAGCAAAGATGTCAGCTTGAGGACTAAGGTGCGCCTGACTCAAGCCATGGTATTTTCAATAACCTAATATGCATGCGAAAGCTGGATAGTGAATAAGGAAAACCGTAGAAGAATTGATGCCTTTGAGTTATGGTGTTGGAGAAGAATACTGAAAGTGCTATGGGCTGCCAAAACAATCAATAGATCTGTTTTGAAAGAAGTACAACCAGAGTGCTCCTTAGAGGCCAAGATGGCCAAACTTCGTCTCTCATACTTTGGATATATTGTCAGGAGGGAACAGTCGCTGGAGAAGGATATCGTGTTTGGTAAGATGGAGGGTCAGAGAAAAAAGGAAGACCCCCAACAAGATGGATTGGCCAGGTGGCAGCATCGATGGACTCAAGTGTGGCAACAGTAGTGAGGTTGGCCCAGGATCAGACATTGTTCCATTCTGCTGTGCATAAGGTCACTATGAGTCGGTGCCGACTCGATGTCACCTAACAACAACAACATCATGTTTATACGAGGGTGAGTTTAAAATTATCCCCACTAAGAACAAGCAAGTTATTTGCCAGGGAACCATCAAGGCAAGTGGTTGGGTTCCCTCAGGGCAAACCCCTTCCAAGACTGAGACTCAAGGGGAATACACAAGCAGGCATGTGGTCTTGCTGGTGACCACGTTGGTCTGCCAATAAGGGGAAGTGGGGAAAAACAGCAATGAAGTTGTAAGCTAAGTCCGACCATGTTCAACAGACTCCTGTCAACCTGGGTTGAGACATGGTTGGCCAGTAGTATGGCGAGACCTGAGGACTCCTGGGCCCAGGGGCAGGGACATGGCCACAGAGAACTAGAGTGGAGAGTGAAGCATCCAGTTGATGCAAAGTGAGGGGAGATGCACAAGAACACCTATACTTGCAGATAGTACCCATTTGACCTCACTTCAATGGCTGGATGATGAGAACTCAACCAGAGGAAGAAAGAAGAGGATAAAAAGAGTAATCCACTGCAATTTGATGAACTTGACCTATATTTATGCATGTAGTAGCTCAAAAGAGGGAACAAATCTTTAGAGCGAGGATCACTCCCACCCTTCAGTACACAGGATTGACAGGACAGAGTGGGTAACTTAGACATTGGCTACCCAAAATGGAGCAGGAGGAGAGGCTGCAAAGGCACGAAGTGACTGGCTTACAAGCTTTTAAGAGGGAGCCTAGTTTCAGAGGGTGAGGAGGAAGGTAGAATAACCACTGAGTGGTTTCCAACCTGTCTGGATAGGGCTGGTGAAAGGAGATGGGATAAGGCTCTTCTGGTTCAATAGTGAATAATTACTATCAGGACTGGTTGTGAGTGTTGCAAATATAAAGGTAGATGTTTTGCAAAAAAAGGAGGGGAGTGGTTTATCTTGCAATCCAGAAGTGGAGAACCCTGGGACCATCAAGGGAGAAGAGCAAAGTACAGGGACCTGTCCAGGGATGTAGTGATGCTAGAGATGGAGGCAGAGATGAAGACATGGAGAGGTGGAGCAGCTGGGGACTCTGAACTCAGGGAGGGAGAGGGGTTATGTACTGATGGGTGGGGGGCAGGCTTGTGGGGTGTTTGAATGGTTATATGTTCCTGAGTGCTTCAGTGTACATCTAAAAACAACAAAAACAAAAACAAAACAAAACACACCAGATAGTATGGAAGTAAATGCTGTTGAATGATGATGCATGGAGGAGATTATAATCATTGCAATGAAAGAAAATACAACAGGATAAATGTAAAGATGATGTTCTCCCATGTAAACTATCATTAAATTCACAATAAAAACTTAAAAAAAAACACAAAAACAATTATCCACACTGTGGCTGTAGACTTTATTTTAATCAACTTTTAAAAGACAAATACATCACTTTCTGACATAATCTCCTTGCTTTCCAATACACTATGTCTATCTGTCAACAAGCTTTCATATTCCCTTATTAACAAATGTTTTAGGTTGAGCTATAAGCCACAAATGCACTATGGTCTTCACTTCTTCATCAGACATGCATCTTTATCCTGGAAGCGCTGATTTCAGGGTACCAAACCAGTGAAAGTCTGATGGAGCAAGATCAGGACTACAGGGAGGATGCTTTAACACCTCAAAACAAAGTTTTTGCAGAGTGTCAACAGTGTGGGCAGAGGTTTGCAGACATGCATTGTTATACAAGATTACAACTCCCTTGGATAGCAGTCCTGTGCATTTAATCCGAAGTTTAGGCTTCAGCGCTTCAGTGAGCATCTCACTGTAAAGAGCATTGTTGATTGTCGAACCTTTTTTCTGATAGTGTTCCAATATTCGCCCTTGAGAGTTCCAAAAAACTGTAAGCAGCAATTTTCCAGCTGATGGTTGTCTTTTGAACTTTTTCTTGGTAAGCAATTGCCGGGGTCTGACCTCGACATAGTTGTCACGAGTGTTTGGTTCACGAGGAGGGGAGATCCAGTGGCGATAGGGATAGCGAAAGAATACACAGACAAACAGAAGAAGGGAGACAATGAGGC